CAAACTTGGCAGCATCATGCAATGCACGTCTCTTTATCTTGCACAAGATCAGTGAAAGAAAATTCAACGAGTCAAACTTGGACTTGCCCGAGTCACTTGGAACCAGCGACCTGCTGGCTCCTGACGACTCCAACTCGGTACCCACTAAGTCAAATCCGAGTCTGTCTTGAGTTTGTCCCAAGTCTGCCGGGTCTGTCAAGTCTTTAGAAAAACAGTGGATATTCATTTTAAAAAACAGCTTTTTCTAAGAAAAAACTCTCCAAACTGATTCGGTGTTCGGCGAGTCGGCTTGCCTTGTATCCTAGCTGGTTCATGGAAATAACCTGGGTTATTAAACACTGAATAAGACTATAAAGGAAAATATTCAGATTTATGAGTATGAGTAAAAGTACAGGAATAACTAAGGAGAGAGAAGTTTCGACAACAAACAAGAAAACAAAAAAAAGGAAAGATGAGGCCCTAGTTCATGTGCATAATGGAATGGAATAAAACAGATGGGAAACTATTAGTTCTCTGAAATGAGATTTAACAGCTATATGTAGCCATGAGAATCATAACTCTGAAAACCAGCAATGACACCATGATGCATTGCATGAAACATGCAGCAAGAATCGATTTCAATCACTGAGAACTCCAGAAAGACATGCCGCATAAAACTAATGCTGAAGACATTTCATCCTCCAATAAAAGAGCAAAAATATAAAAGAATGTCGCAACTAGCCCAACTCACCTAGTTAAATACGGGTTATTGCTCATCTCTGCTTGGATACCCATGGAATCATCGTCATTAATCTTCTCGCTATTGCAATCCGAACTAAATAAGAAAAGGAAGAGAAAGGATTTCATCAAATTCATTGCTAACTATAATGTTCAAAAAATATATATATCGATATTGGCACTTACATGCAACAAAATATACAAGTCAAATATATAGTGCTATTTCAGATCCATGTCACCAAAATAAGAGAGAAAAGTATGGGACTGAAAAGTCTAGAATCATGACAAGCAACTAAAACACGTTAGCCACTGTGGAGAACAGAAGCAGAGACAGGGGATCATGTTGCTTGAGGCCACTAAAGCATTTGAAGAAAACCACAGAGGGGTTCAATTAATCAAAATTACGAACAACGGGACAGGGAAAGAGGCAGCCATAAATCTCCCCCACCTCTCCCCAAGACCCATTCGATGGAGCATACAATAGACAAAAGCCCAATGGACATGATCACAATCTTTTCCCAAGTTTACTTCGCAAATAACTCCCGGAAACCTTGGGGTTTTCAAGTCAAGACATTAGTGAACGACAAAAGCACTATTAAGGATTTGCCTTCCACCACAAGAACCACTGTGGCGGGAAATAGCCAACCCAGACACCTTGTGTAGCCTGGATGATAGAAGTTTCACCAAGACCAACAAGGCTAATTAAATGGTAGGCCCCTTATGTCAATCGCAAACTTTAAGAATCAGAGTGCTGAATGTACAATTCATATATCTAATTCACTGCACACAAGTACTATACATGTGTACATAGTTAATATTGAAGGTACGCAACATTTTAGTGTGAAAACCAAGGCATTAAGGTTTCTACAGGCAAGGAAAACCATCTTGCTGGGATCACTGAAGGCCCAAAGCATTTGATTTCACAAGGATCATCAAACCATATCTGAGTTTATTCCATATGACAATCCAGACAAATAATTAAAGGCCAAAACACAATATGACAAGATGCAGCTCATATATTTACTAAGACAAATCAAGTTATATTCATGATATCTACGGAAAAAATAAAGGAATGGATTCAAGGCTAGGTGGTAAGGGAGGAGGGGCACCACAAACTGATGTCTTTAGTTCCACTCCTACCACAGTTAGGGGATCCATTCCCTGCTGAACTACTCACAAAATTTTAAAACATGAAATATAAAAGAAATAGAATACAAGGTCGTCAACAAACAAGGCAATGCAACTCGATAAAGTATAGAATACATCAGCACGTAGTTGTTAGATGAGGGAGCAAGGATCATCTTTTGCCCTACATCCAGAGCGCTTCACATGTTTAGAAGGGGCCTAAGGGCACCCCCAGAATATATATATGATTATAAAGCCACGATTCACGAATATCATAAGAAAATTGTGTAGGAAAAGGAGGAGGTCCTTCATTTCTAGAATAGAAATAAGAAATTGAATTCTATTTTGATGGGATCCATTATAGGATTTGTTGTGTCCCTTTTGGCGTTTGAGGATGTTGTCACTCAGATTTGAACCGAGATGCTGTAGCATCGTTTCCTAAGAGCAACGTGTCTACCAATTTCACCATGGCGGCTTTCTCAAAGTAATATTTGCTTGCCTCTCCACAAAGTGGCTGCCCAGGTTACTAGGTGCCCACCTAGGTGGTTGAGAACCCCAACCATCTCGGCGGCTGCCCCCGTCTTCTTGAACATTGGTTTGACCCCAATTTTTGAACTTTTTTCATTTTGATGAACAATCACAAAAAAAAGAAGAAGAAAGGTTCCCTAAAAAGTGTTTTTTTAACCTACTTAATATGGGTCATCCATTTGGTAAGATACTTAGATCTATGCCTTAGAAGGAACTTTTTCCTCTTCCAATTTTTGTAGATGGCTTTGTCATAATTAGATTAACAATATTATAGAAGAAAAAACCGATTTTGAGTTCCCAAAGCCCTAGATCTTAAAATTCATCTAACGGATGGTCGAGATTCATTATTGGATGGGGGCTCATTTTGACCATATGTAAGGTGCAAAATGAATCCTATTTTTTTAGGGTTCATTGTCGAGATGAAGAGAGTGCCTATGTAAAATTTGGGATCAAACAAATGCTACAAAGATGGTTTCTAAACGTGTGATAACATTATATATATATATATATATATATATGGAAAAGTCTTAAAAACGTCTAAAGGCGAATTGCTACAGTATTTCGCCCCCACCACGGACATGCTACAGTTTTTCCTAAAAACCGCCACGGACCTACGGGAGCAGTGGCGGTCCACGTATATTTTTTGCATCAATTTTGCATAAAAAATCCCGTCACTGACATGCTATATCCGTGACGAACCGCCACGGACATGCTATGTCCGTGACGGTCTTTAATCCACGCCGTCCGAAAAAATCGGACAGCACCGTGCCTATAGGCGAAATACTATTCATTTTGCCCATTAGTGTTTTGTAGTCTCTTCATATATATCTATATATATAAATATATATGGCAGAAGTTACACTATACTCCCAAGATAAAGGTACTCAACAACAAACCCCTTAATGAATAAGCACTACCAAATTATCACCAAATACCGTATTACTATTTATTTTTTTCCAGCATGAACCCCCCACATGCTTTTTTCAAGTACTTCTAGACAAAAATGTCTCTGCTCTCCAATTCTTTAGCCTCTCCCTTGTACTCTCCCATTTTATATCTCTAGCATCCTCTACTCTCTTTTTGTCTTCTCTCACTCTTGGCTAGGCCCTCTCAAACACCCACCAAAACAGATAATCAATTCCCACCTCCCTGTAATGTAAAAGAACTTCTCTGCCCCCAAAATTTTCATCTCCCTCACAGTGCAGATCTCTCTTCAGTCTCTTCATCTCCACCAGTAAATATATGGGATAGGCAGATTCGGCCTCCATACATTTTGTTTCTCATTTTGCACGACCCCATTCCTTCTCCATGTTCCTTCCTTTTACCTCTCTCTCTTTCTTCTTTCTCTATTTCCTCCCCTCTCTCTCTTACACCGTGCCAAGCAGTGCAGCAATCTTTAGAGAGAGGGGAGACTTTTGTTTACATTCCCAATCTCCATTGTTTTCCCAATCCTCCTCTGTCCTCCAACTCAAGCTTTGATTTTTGCACAAACCAACATGTCCTACTTATCTCTCTCTATCCCTCTACAATCTAACCTCATTACCTCCTCTCTTAAAAGCTCACTACCATGCCTTTGACTCCCCACTCACCAAGGTTTCAAAAAACGCTAGGGCGACCGGACTGGCACCCAAAACCTCGGGCGTCCTGTAGTACAAATTTTTAAGATATATACGTGTATTTGCTGTCCAAACACACATTTATGCATATATTTGTGTCAATTTGTAATTTATTGCATTTGAAAATATTGCAACATATATTTTTATATACAAACATATGACATATCGCAGGTTGAGAATAAGCTTGTTCAAAATTTCAAAACGTACAAAACATTTAAAAGTCTAATACACAATGTAAGGTCTCCAACTCTCATATTCTCCATATTCCATACCACAAAATAAACCATAAAACCTCCAATAACACCCTAAAAATAATTTCAATGAGAAAAGGAAACTTTTTCAATCCAAAAAAAATACTTTCGATTCTCATAAATTACTTTAGATTCTCATAAATACATTTAGCATAGAGATCGAGGGCGTTTTTTTCACTTTGGGGACCCCATCATATATTTATACAATATTGGGGGTTAAAATGACCTCCTTTGCCCTTTTGGGCGACTTAAAGAAGCGATAAGGGGCCTACGGCCCTAGGCACTGGGCAGACCGTTTTTTAAAACACTGCCACTCACCCCAATCCTAATAACACCACACCCACTCGAGAGAATGAAAGAGAGTAGCAACAACCCAAATAGATAAAGAAATAAGGGGGAAGAGAGCGAGAAAGAACACATCCAATTGCTTGATGATGATGGCACCTGAAAATTGAGGCGTTTTAGCTTGATTTTGCAGATCACAAAATGCCTTTGCAGGGGCTTTCATGGAGCCACCACACCTGCTACCGGATCCCTCTGTACACATAAGCCCTCGGCACCCCTCCTTTTAATTGCAGCACCAAGCTCTAGCTTGGAAATCCTAGCACCCTACAAAAGATGCAAGAACTCTAGTTTCTCTCTCTTCCCTACCTCGAAAACCACCCCATCAAAGGCCATCTTTCTCTCTTAGAAGTCACCCTAGGGCCTAAGACACATAAGGAGAGTCAGTGTATAAAAAAGTGCTAGGCGGCACCTAGGCAGTCATGGGGTCCAGGTCGCTTAGCACCCAGGCGGCCGCCTAGAACCTGGGCGGCCTAGTAGAAATGTTTTTTTTTTTTTGGGGGTTTTATCTCTCTAAAATAGCCTCTAATGGGTTTTAGGTTTCAAACGAACCTAAAACCCACAATTTTACCCCTTTAAGTATTAAAAAAATGACCCAAAAATACCCTCAAGGAGCTACATTTCCACCTCTGGGTGGGACGCAGGCCCTGGGCAGCTGCCTAGGCGGGTTCGAGCAGGCGCCCAAGGATATCCGCCTAGGCCTAGGCGCTGGGAGGTTCGCTTTTGGAAACAGTGAGGAGAGCAATAGGCACTTTGATAGGAATGATACATCTCCAATGAAAGGAAGGGAACACAACTGGCCATATGATTTTTCGACAGCATGTTTCACTTGAGAATCTTGGGGAAAGATGAGAGAGAGAATAGATAAAGAGAGAAGAGAGAGGATTGACTGGGGGATTTTCTGCTGACTTTAGTGCTGGAGTTAGGCTTCTAGAGATAGAATCACTAGAGGTTTTGAGAAGATAGAGAGAAAACAAGAGCGTAGGGGCATTTTCATCTAAAACTACTTTGAAAACAAGAGCGTAGGGGCATTTTCGTCTAAAACTACTTTGTAAAAGCATGTTTGGGGGCCCATGAGAAAAATAAAGTCATTTGGTAATAGAGCCAATTCAGAAAGGGGCTTTGTTGTGTAGCAACTTCACATTACGGGAGAATATGTGAGTTCCCTATGATATCATATATCGTAATCAATGTTGACAAAAAAAAAAAAGATATGTGGGGTGGATCCCCCACGCACCGATCCCGATCCGGATCAGGGATCCGACAAAACCAAAAAGCTAAGATAGCATGCAATGCATGTCATAACCAAAAAGATTGCAACATTGTATTGGTTTTAGCTTGTGGGTGATTACCGAAAGGTCAAGGTTTGATCCCTAGAACATCTGTGTTTTTTTAAAAAAAAAAGTTATTTATATTAAAGAAAGGGGCACATCCCAGGGTTCAAACTTCGGACATTTCATTTGAGGCCCATGCTAACCACTAACACTCACTTAATTTTTAAGTAAAATCAATTCATATAACAAATTATTTACTATAAAAGACTGATTCAGCCCAAGAACCAGAATGGTCTTGGACGATTCCCAATCACCGATTTTTTAATCACTGATCAGAATATATTATATACATTAGGGTATGTTTGACAAAACTGAATTTTTATCTTTGAATTTTTGAAAATATGAATAAAAGGCACAACTAGCTTTCCACATTTTTTAATTACTTATTATCTTGATATAAGTTTTATTATCTCTATTTGACTATCGACCCCTATTTCAAAAATTTTATTGAGTTTGATAAAACCTGCATTTACATGAACTAAATTTCTGAGGCGTTTCATTTAACAACTCTCTAGCCGTGGCCATGTTACCAAGCATGTCTACTCAATAAGTTTAGAATCTTGGTTTCTTATAGCCATTTTAATAATGGTTGTCAAGCACGTTGGAGGTTAAGGGACACCAAAAGCATGTGGGATCATCCTCGTATGGCCAATAACCATACAAGTATTACCAATGGTGTTAGGTTTGATTGATAATGGAGCAGTGCTGTGAAGAAAAGAACAATTAATAGCATGCTTTGCATACATATTTAACCTGCAAATTGGCTATATGGGCAGTGATGATAGAATCTGGAGTACGGACCGTAACAGCTTCACATGAAATAGGTCTACTGGAATATCGCGACCTCGCTCTTCCAGTTTCTTTCGGCATCTTCAAGCCTTAGAAATCTTCACTTGATATCTCCCTTTATCCTATCACTCACCATCTTCTTGAAAAGAGGAGAAAGCAGGGTTTGGGAAAGAGAAAGGTTGGTACACAATGCATTTCTTGTAGAGAGAGAGACCCCACTTGAGATAGGGCGAAAGGTGTTGTGTTTTTGGGATCCATACCCTCATCTTTTCTCCTCTTCTTCCTCTAGGTTCACACAATTTGGAGAGAAGGGGTTGGGAGGTCAAGACCAGAGAGAGAGAGATGACAATGGTGAGATAAAGGTCACCAAAGACATGGAGACGACAATGGGAATGTCAAGAGAGAGATTGTTGGGAAGGAGGCTGGGGGATAAAGAAGTAGAGAGGGTGTAGACAAATATTAGAATGGAGAAATGGAATGCCCCCTGATACATTATATTCTGAATTTTAAAGGATATGATTTGATTATATCAAATGGGGTTCATGAACTTCTCAGATCTAAAATATATTTGATTATATAATATCCAAAGATATAAGGATATTAGGGTGCTATCAAATAGACCCTTACATATATGTTCAGTATAAAATAGGGTGAAATTAGAAGAAATCTCAATAACTAAACAAACAAACGACTTTTTTTTTTTTACTATATACACATGCACCACAAGATTTCAATAGTAAGGGAGTCCCAGAAAAAATAAATAAAGGGGGAAATATCAATGAAATGGTTAAACCGGCATTATATAATCTGAATTTTAAAGGATATGATTTAATTATATCAAACGGGGCTCATAAACTTCTCAGATCTAAAATATATTTGATTCTATAATATCCAAAGATATAAGGATATTAGGGTGCTATAAAATAGACCCTTACATATATATGTTCATTATAAAATAGGGTGAAATTAGAAGAAATCTCAATAACTAAACAAACAAACGACTTTTTTTTTTTTACTATATACACATGCACCATAGGATTTCAATAGTAAGGGAGTCCCAGAAAAAATACATAAAGGGGGAGATATCAATGAAATGGTTAAACCACATCAAAAAAACAATATAGTGGTTAAATCAACTAATTGGCCAATAAAGTGGTCTCTTTTTAAAATCATTTCACTTAGGAACCTCCTCAATTATTTTGTTAGAAATGCCTATCTACCTCTATCCTAGGTTTGGAACTCCAGACAAGTGAGGGCATTATTAGAAAATTCCCAACTACATTTGTCCTAAGCTTGTAATCCTGGACAAGTAAGGGCATATTGGTAATAAGGCCACTTATGCTACTCAAGCCAAATGACCTAAATACCCTTATTTGTCTCGGTTCCAAACTCGACACATGTTTTTTTCATTAAAAAATTTTGTTTCAAGTTTAGAACCCAAAACAAGTAGGGTTATTTATATATCAAGGCTCGAGTGACTTAAGTGGAGCTAAATTACCAAAATGCCCCCCCTATTGTGCTTACCAAAACCGGAAAAAATTTTTTTAATGAAAACACGTTATGGGTTTGGAACTCAGAACCAGTAATGGTATTTAGGTAATTTGGCCCAAGTGATTTGTCATATACCAAAATGTCCTTACTTGAACAAGAGCAACTTGAGCATCTTCTCCCGAAAGTCATGTGGGGTACCTAAAGTAACCATTTTGTTGGTAAATTTGTTGATTTAACCACCTCATTGGTTTTTTGCATGGTTTAACCATTATAAAGACATTTTCCCAAAATATAATTGGGATAGTAGGGCTATGACAAGAATGGGAACAGAATTTAAACTTGGAAAAGTATTTTATCCTTAAACCACCAAAATCTATCAATGGTATTCATCAACGCTGAGATCTATCTCTGGTCTCATATCAATATAAGGCATAAAGCACAGAAAGTATGCATATTCATATGGATATTAAAGACCTACTAAAGCATACCCAGATTCAAGAACATCAGGGAGCCAAAAATATTAACATTAAAAGCATCGTAATAAAGATAGAATTTGTAAAGGGATAAAGAGAAAAACAATATGCACCATCAGAGCCAATGAGAAAGTTTAACCATCAATAATCAAACCTGGACACACATTTGCTCACATGGAAACTGAATAGAGTTGAGAAAACAGCGCTAACAGAAAATCAAGTTTCAGGAATACTATTAAAAGAACGACAGCTTCCACAGAATAACTGGTACAACAAATAAACTACAGAATGCCATTGCCCTGGTTGATCTATGCATGAAACTATGATCATGACACTTACGTGGGAACACGCAGAACTGATTTCCCTATATCAAAATTCCATAAAAGTTCCTCGTATTAAAATTATGTGGTTTACAATTTTGTTTCCAAAACATTAATTAGTCTCTCATAAAAAAATACTAATACTTGTAACATTGTATTCTTGTAACATTGTATTCTTGTACATGCGATGTTACAAAATAATCCAATTGTAAAGTGAAAAATACTCGAAGTGACCCGACCAGCACAACTTTGTAGAAGATATACAAACTGCATAATGAAGCATCAGGAAACAAGAAATGGTGATCAAATTCCGAAAACTTACTCATAAGGAGCATTGCAAATATCTTTGTATCTGTCAGATAGAAAAGTAATCATGTGCACTTTCTCTAACCAATTTGGATCATTCACCGCGAATATCAATTTGACAACACCTAAGTCAAAAAAATTGACAGGTCACTAGCTTTCTCACAACACAATTAACATGGAACTAGAAGCAGGGAAGCAAACAACGGATAATAACTGACAGAACAGCTCTGCAACTAATAACATTCAAACGGCATAAATAAAATCCATTATTCACCTTAAGCTATTAAAAGAACAGAAATACAAAATACACCAACAGAAGCATTCCACTTATTACTATCAAACTGCAAATGAAATACAATTATTTAACTAGCCTCAACAGCAACCAAGAGAAAAAGAAAACACACCACCAGAAGCATCCCATACACTCTCCCCATCCGTCATAGCTGTGGGGCTTAAGTGAAGTCTGAGCCAAGTAGCTGAAACCTGACAAACCAACATGTAAGAAATGAAATTTCCACTATTCAATCCATCCAAGGGTTTCTCATTCTAACCAAAAAAGAAAAACAAAATTCTAACTCAGAAACAAAATTCTATAGAACAAATCCAAGTCACACAGGACAATACGGGACAGTGTAACCTACACTTTCGACCCAGTTATACTCAATTGAGAAAATATCAAGAAGCCCCCATTTCCAGCTAAGAGTTGCATCATTTCCATTAGCAAAAGGAACCTCAAGTTTAATACACTCAGAAAAGAAAGTCAACCGTGGATCTTGGTAGTGTCTCTTCCCACAAAACACAAAATCAGATGTAAAGGCAACCTCTGAACATTCAGTCCCCTGTCAATTACACCAGGAAGACCAGTCAAGGCACAGAATAACCAAAATTTAATCAAGAAAATAATCAATAAGCCACAGACAAATTATCAACTATAGAAAAGCATGTGTTACATTCTAGCTTAGGGAAACAAAAGAGAAGTTAGAAATTGCAAATAACAACATTGGGCTCCAAATGTATGGAACACCAGAATAGGGGAAGAATACATGCCAAGAAGTAGAAAAAGTTGCCGTTGTTCATTTCATAGTACATTGTCGATGGTTTTTTGTTTCAAGAACCAAAATACTTCAGCAAATGGATCAAATTAAAATTGAAAGGGATTTCTGTAATTTGCAGTTCTATGACAGCAACTGATCCATCTCTGAGTGATCAGTAAACCCAATATACATCTGCCGATGCATTCAAAACAGAAAGGTGAAGAAACTAACCAACGAGATTTTCGAGGGTTACAGCAAAGCGAACAACAACAATTGAAATGGAGAATTCTAAAAACGCAAGAATAAGCTACAGCCTAAAACCATGTACAGTGGGATTTCCTCGCTTGGGTCTTAGAGCGTACAGGGTTCGGTGGCAATGGAGAAACAGGATTTCAGGGTGCATTGGGTCCCGGCACCTCTCAGTACTTGTTAATGGGTGGGAATGGATAACCTGGCTCCCAGCACCTCTCAGAACTTATTAATGGCGTCCCCCCAGGATTCTTCCCTTCGATTAGGGGTCTCCACCAAGGCACCTCCCCTCTCCCCTATTCCCTATGCCATGGTGCAGGAAATCTTCTGCAAGTCCATTTCCAACCTCTACAGCCAAAACCTTTTTTTAGGCTTCCCCTCTTCTAGCAGTGGCTCCATAATATCCCACCTCCAGTATGTTGATGATACCCTGGTTTTTTGCAACAGGGAACATCAGCAAGTGGACAACCTTCACTTGTTTCTTAGGTCGTTCGATATGTCTATAGGGTTCTAAGATAAATCTGACCGAGAATAAATGATGGGCTGTGAGTTTGTCATGATGTCAAACAAGCTGGGGTGCCAGATTGAATCCCTAACCAAACAAGACCTCAATTTGCCACTACGTATAAATGAGGAAGGCACAATCCAGTGCAATGGTCAAAAAGTCACAGAGGAGGTTGAGAACGTGGAAAACTAGATTCTTATCACTAGGGGGCAGGATTCTTTATCAAAGCCAAAATGTCTATCTTCAGGTTACCTATGTCTATTCTTGAAAGACTAGAGCACCTATTGAAAGATTTCCTATGGTCTGGCTCTGAGGGAACACAAAAAATTTATTCACGAGTTGAAAACTGCTTTGTAAACCTAAGAGGAATGGCAGGTTAGGAATCAACATAAAAATTAAAACAAAAACCCTCAATGAGTGCAATCCTGCCCTTCTTTGTAAGTCGTAGCAGCAACTTGCAGTTAATAAGGTCATCCGTGAAAGGAGGTTATTCAGGGAAAACTTCGGCTAGATAAGTTGGGTTGGTTATCTAAGGGTCAGACAAATGCTCAAGCCTCACCACCTGGAGGAGCATAGCCACTGCTCAAAGAGTATTTATATGTAGAACTTAATTCGTGACAAAATCAGGGGAACAAATTAGATAGTGTGAGGCCTATGGGCAAGGGACAGCATGTAGACACATGTTTCCTAGCTGATTGATTCACCTCAATGACACAATAGCACAATCTTATGTAAAGCTTGGGGGAGTGCTTTGGCCACCGAGTTTTAGAAAAAACCTTCATGATTATGGAGATCCAGGACATGACAGTGCTTTTGGAGCTACTCAATAAAATCAAGAGCAAATTACGTACAAACACTTTTGAGGGGGTCAATTACCAAACGGACAGGGCAGTCATGCCCGAAATTACGAGCATCACCCCCTCCCCTGCGCGGCAATTTTTCCCTAAGTTACCCTCTTGTCCGGCAATTCAAATACCGGACAGGGAGAGAGCTAATTTTAAAAGAAAAAGAGCTGTCCGGCATTTCAATTGCCGTACAGCTTTACCCCCAATGACCACCGCCCTTTCTCTCCATAGAGAGACAACTCTACTCTTCTCTCAGAACGAGGCACCCTCATTTCACAAAAAGACCTCCTTTCTCTGCTCCCTGCAAATGGCCTCTCCCTCTAACCAAAACCCAACCAGCCATTCCAACAAAATCAGCACCAACAAAAATTCTCCCTCTTCTTCTCCCTCCTCTTCTCACTCTAGCAAAAGTAGTGAGAGAAACAGTAGTGGAGAAGGCAAGAGAAAGTGCAAAGGCAAAGGAGCGACCAGACAAACCTTGCTCACTGCAACCCTTCTTATTAACGATCTAGTCTTCATAAGCCCTATGCTACAACAAACCTCGCTCACCGGTGACTTTTCCAGCAGAGTGTTCACCGGAAATTAACCTCCTCAGCAACTTTCCGGCAACTTTCAATTGCCTTGAAGCCACATGGGGTACTTTTCTGCAATAAGTAGTGTTTATTCCAAGGCCTCTGCAACTTTTTCCGTGAAAGGAACCAGACAAGAAGGCTATGTGTCTTTCCTCTGCAACTTATTTGGCCATTAAAGAAGATCTCAATTCTTAATACAACTTGAGTGAAACTCTATTTTTGAGCTTTATTCAAAGTGAACAAGTAAATCCTAGCTTCTATCTAGGCCTTTGCAATACTTTCCAGAGAAAAAAACCCTAATCTCGTTAACCCAATTCTTTTCCCCAACTCGTAGAAAACCAGCCACTAATTCTAGTTTCTTTCCATTCCTCTCTCCAAATTTTATCCAAAAATAGCTGAAAAACACCGTGGACCCATGCCCTTCGTCAAGATCCTCGTCCAAAACCTAGCCCTCAAAATCCCAACCTCCAATCGAAAAAAACCATTGCTTCTACGAACAACTAAAAAACTTAAATGAGGAAAGTTGTCCGGCAATTGAAATGCCGGACAGCTTTTTTACTTCAAAAATTAGCACTCCCTCTATCCGATATTTGAATTTCCGGACCAGAGGGCAACTTAGGAAAAAAAAATACTGCACAGAAGGTGATGCTCATAATTTCGGGCAAATGACTGCCCATTTGATAATTGACTCCCCCCAAAAGTGTCCATACGTAATTTGCTCTAAAATCAATTCATCCTGGAGGTGAGCATGGACAAAATACTTTGAGGCCCACTCTCCTTGGGTATTTTCTTGGCTTCCCATATGTGCAACAAGTTGAATTACACCTATTTTCGAACTCCGACATCTAACAAGGCTTGGAGCGCCCCCCCGCCAACTCTGACATCTAACAAGGTTTGGAGCACACACCCCCCCCCCTCCCCCCCCCAACACCCCAATAGATCCAGGCTTTCAATTGGCTAGACATATCTAAGAAAGATCTCACCGTAGACCAGATGAAGAGGAAAGGTATCCCGTTACCCAACCAAAACATTGTGTAAAGAAGAGAAGGAAATAATGGACCACTTGTTCATCCTGGCCCTATTGCTGCCTAGGTATGGCTGTTGTCTTGTTTCTCTTTGAATGGGAGTGAGTGTGACCAGAAAATGTCTGGCAACTATTCTCACTCTATTTCAGTGAGCCGCTTTTCTAACTTCCGTTCGGTTCTTCTAGCTTGAGCTAACTCATGAATCTTTGCAAGCATTGGGTGAGGACCAGATTAAAGACATTGTTATCTTTGGGGCCGAGCAAAGGATTTGTTGGTTGGTCTACATTGGATTTTATAGAAAACTAGGGCATCACCAAGGCACAAGGCTTATGGATGTTCCGAGATACAATAAGTGGTCGCCACCAGTGCTTTAAAATGCGGGATGTGGCCCAATGCGTTGGGGGAGCCGATGCGGCAATGAGGCTCGATGCGGTCCAGATGCGGGTGCATCACCCTGATGCGGCCAATAAATATTAAAAAAAACTCTAAAAAATCTAAAAACATAATTAATGCATGGAAAAAATATGGAGATAATTTATTTGATAGCAAGTATTTAATTTATTCATTAACTCCAAAAGTATCAGTTGTCAGGATTCTGTATCCACTAACCCCTGATAGATCATAGAAGACATTAGAAAGTAGAACCTAGAAACTTGAAACTAGCTACATAAATCATTCAACCATAATCACAAATTTCCAACCACAATCTTCAACGTTACAAAATACAAACTAAAAGTCTATGAAGATTAAAGAGTAACTATGTATCCACTATCCCTTGACAGATCATGAAGATCTGTTGTTAAAACTTTGCTAGAATCTCCTCAAATCAACACCCAAAAAAACAAAATCAACAACCAAAGATCAACCAAGACGAAAATCTAAGAATTTCAAAAAAATAAATTTCAGCCACTTTTTTTTTTGATCAATTTAAAGGCCACGGATGTGGCTGCTTTTGGTAGTTTGGGGGGGGTTATCGAAAACCCTTTCCCCCCTGTTTCAGGGATTAAAAAGTCAAAAATACCCCTTCTCGAGTGGCTTTTTCTCACATCACTCACTGGCCAATATGCGCCCCATGCGAGCTATGCAGGATGTGGCAGCATATGCGGAGGGATGCATGGCATATGCGAGCGCATCCCTCCAGAGCACATATGCGGCCTCATGCAATGTGGTTGCCGGAGCATAAGTGATAACGCATTATGCGGCCGCATTTTAAAACCATGGTCGCTCACAACCACCGGGAGCCATTTAACTCAACTTCTATGGGTGCTTTTTCAGCAACGCAAGGCCCTGCAAGAGTTCGAGGTATTTACAGAACCAATTTGGGTGACCTTTCACTTTCTTTCTCTGGTTCTATTAGGACAACTTACTCCACAAAGGCAGAGGCAGCCTCAAACTTTATAATTGTAGTTGGGGTCCCTCCATTGAGGTGCAAGGGGACTCATCGAAATATTATTAGGTAGGCCCCAACTAACACTACAACAGTGTTGGAGGACCTAAAACTATATGGTTGCCATTGGGGCCCCTCCATTGAAGGGAATGGAACTCAATGAATGTTATTAGGTGCACCTCAAGAGAAGCACCCATCCTTGGCATTTAGAATAGCTGTTTGAGTAAGTAATTACGAATCATAGCAATTACAGGTCTCTTTCAAGCATACATGGCATAAGGCAAATGTGGTTTCTGATGCCTTAGCAAAGGAAGGCGATGCTAGGATGGTTAGTTAATAAGCCTCAGATCATTACAACATCTTTTTATTCTTTCATACGTATTTTTATTTTTGCCCCCATTCAATTTTGAACAAATACTACTATTCTTTACTAAAAATACAAAATTCAATATTTCTCAAAAAAAGAAGAGCCAGCGAGAATGCTCACCTTATCACAATAACCACTCGAACAATGATCTGAAGTTGAAGGTTCCATGACTCCTGATATTAAAAGATGAAAATTGTTAAGGAAATTGTAATTCAAACTACTTACTCTTAAACAAGCAACAAGACATGCAAGAACCTAATTATCGAAAAGCATAAAAGCATCCAAGAACCTTCATCTCCCGAAAGATTGGAATCAGAAGTTGAAACAGAACTTTTCATTAAGCTTCCTTCACCATCTGAAGCCACATCAACCAAATTTTCCTGCAAAGATTCCAGAGAGACCTGACAACAAAGCACTCAAATAAGGAATAAGACTAGAAATAAGTTTCTCGGGAAAGTTAAGTACCTCTGCTTGTAGTGGTGTATCCTTCACTTGGTTGGGATACTTGCAAGGAACTTCAAGGCCTAAGAACTCCGATGGAAGAGAATCTGCTCGAGACATAAAGACTCCGGATTCGTAATTTCCTTGAATAGTATGTCTAGCTGCCTCGTTGATATCTTGAGAGGAAGTTACTAATATGTCCTTCAACCCGAGAGATGCTTCTTCACATGTACCATTCAATCCCGACTTGTTCACAGTATACAGTTCATGATTCTGATAGACAACTGAAGGACCAGACTTTTCACTAATACCAGTTGGCATGAAATCTAAGCAACATCCATCATGCACCCCTGCTTGTGGAGCATTGTTTGTTTTGGAAACTACCAAACAAACAAATACAAGAAAATTAGAGAGAGAAAAAAATGCAGACACAATATTATTGCAAGTGATCTTCAAATTCAAGCATGCAAATATGGTGGACATCAACAAAACAAAAAAGAATGGAAACATCGAGCACATAATGGAAAGAAACACTACTATTAATCACAGAAATACTACAGAACAAGTATTGAATACTTGAGGAAAGCCTTGGCAGAAAGTAAGGGGATGCACATCATATCCATCTAAGACAGAATAAGTACATGTATAATTGGCATAACAACCCAAGGGAAGACAACCGAAGTCCACAAATATCGAAAATAGCAATAATGAACTTCAGAAGGTACTCTATTAAAGCCCAAAATCTGCCCCATTAACATGTCAGATTGATAATATTCTGGGAGCGCAAGGTGCAAAACAACCATTTGTTTGACATGAAAAATAAATTAATGGACAAAGAATTGTATGACATAGAGGCCAATATGCTGGTCCATTTTAATTTTGCCTTAGACTAAAATACCAACTCCATCAAATCTTCAATGCATGGTGGTAAGTGACCTTTGCAGATCTTACACCACAAACACAATCAGTTGAGGATCACTCTACATTTATCAGAGATTATTCTACACTGCTGTTTCCAGACCAGAAATACCCCATGTCGTTCAAGCTGTAAACTAGTTTGCTCAATATCATAGAGCCACATGGTTGCAGCTCCAGAGGTTTATCAGATATATTCCCTCCATATAGAAAGTAGATTATTTGTGGTTATCCAATCAGACCGTCAGTTGATAGCTCTGTAGAATCAAATTAAGTTTATTCTCATGATACTCATCGACCTACCAAAAGATAAAGTGTTTTCGTGGGAGATAAGCTTATTATTTGTGCTTAAGAAACACGATGTGATTTCTAAGCTAAGGGTGTGATTGGGGAATACGAAAATCACCAGCTTCTGATGAGATTATGTAGCTTAGGATGTTGCTTTTGGATCTTGCCATTTCAAGTTACAATTCACGATCCACTGCATAGGGAGAATACCAGCGGCATCATTATTTCTTCCAATTTAGTTTTCCACGATAGAACCAGACATATTGAAATGGAGCATCACTTTCCGAGATAATTTGGCGAACAGTTACTTTTTCTCACCCTTATGTTCTTTCGAAGGATCAAATTTCCATTCATGTCTTCCCTGTCACTTATCCTATGCATGACTACTTAGTAAGCAAATTGTCACTTATTTATACACCGGGGTCATTAGGGAGGTGGTTATTAAGATTGCAGTCAAAACTTTCCTGAGTCAACCCAGAAACACTCAAGTTGACACGACCAAGTTAGCTGGTGAAGCCAGCCAATTACTTGGCCCACTTATTCTCAGCCAGGATTTTTAGCATTCCTTTTCCACCTGGCCTATTTGTCTTATGCATGCTACCCCCAAGTTCAATGTCACATGCTTTCCCATGCAAAATATAGAAATATTGTCATACTCTCCTCAATGGAAAGTAATTGTCTCATTTCCATTGCATTGTACCTTGGATTGCATATGAAATTTTATATTAAAGTAATGTAGGACACTATTCTCTTATACAAACCTTTTAGTACTTCTAAAAATTGTTATATCAGTTTCAATATATGAATACGCAAGGAATAAATAATAATTGGTGGGCACAATTTGAATTTTACAGGACCAATTGTGTATAATATTGAATAAGTTAGTTGTCATTTTATTATTTTCTCTCCACCTAATTCTCTCTCTTCGACAACACGGAGTTGCTAACAAATTGTATGAAACTCAATTGCTAAGAACATATACAAACCTGTGTCATTTGAAGGGGAAGACTGGAATACATCCATGAGCTCATTTCAACAATATTAGCTCACTTCCCAACAAATCCTAAAAAACATGTCCCTTAAACACATCCAGGGGACTTGTTTGACCGTGCACTTTGCACATACACTTTGTTGAAAACAATGAACAATTAAAAATAAATAGGAAAAAATAATTCTTTAGGAGATAGAAAATTTGTTGGATATCATCAGTTCATTTTAGATATAAACCTTTGAGTACTAAAAATTAATTTCTTTTATTTCAATTGTTCATTGGCTGCTAATGATAAGGGCACCTAAAGAAATTAGGGTAAAGTTTAAACATATCGCTCCTTCAAAAAAACCATGTTAAGGGCATCGGTGTATTTCAAAATTTTGCAAACACACATACAATATATTCATCATAACAATCAACTCCAAAAAAAAAAAAATCAATTTCCACCATATAAAAGGTCAAATTGAATTTCAATCCAACAATGACTTTAGACTGTCCATTTGGTACACATTGAGATATAGGTCTTTAAGAACTCAAAACCAATTTTTTCTTTTTTAAAATTATTCATCCAGTGATGAAACAACCATAAATAAAATTTGGAATAAAATGAGTCTACCTAAAGCCGAGATCTTACTGTCCCATCAAAATGGAGGGCCTACATTTATTGTCTTTAAATAAATACTTTTAAGGGTGCATTTCATAGTTATCCGAAGCGATTCGGAAACTGAATCAATTTAAGAATCGTCGATGGCTCGAAGATTCCTGTTTTCATAATCGACGTCCATACAAGAGGAATTGTGGGGCGAGATTCCTATTTTCAGGAATCGAGATTCAACAAAAATATAATCGACATCTCTACATAGATGGAATCAAGATTCCTAGCACTTTGGAATTGAGTTTCCGACCTAGTTGGAAGCGAAGATTCCTTCATTTATAGAATCAAAATTTTGACATCTTAGGAATCTAAAGAGAACTGAGAGGGAAAGAATACATGTCTAAATGTCAATCATTGACTAACATGCATGTTTACGTTATTTCTAACATCTTGGAGTTGCAATCTCTCCATTGGATCAATACAATGCATACTTAAAGAATTAAATGGAGAACTTGGACCACCACTTTGGTTTCTATTGGTAATTTCATACCAAAAAAGATGACTACACCTTGTAACATAGTATTGAGTGTCTAGGTAGAGCTCGAGTAGTTCGATACCTTGAAAACTTCTAAATAGCACTTCTCAAAAAAGAAGAGAATTTTGGTAAATGTGGAAACCAGTTTCAACAAGTATAGAATCGAGATTCACCAATTGCGGAATTGAGAATCAATATATATTGCAACGAGATTCTATAAGTGTTGGAATCTAGATTCCTAAAATAAGGAATCGGGATTCTAGACTTCACAGAAAAGGGTTCCATGAAGATTTTTAATCAGTATTTGCCAAATCAAGGTTTGGAATTGGAATCGCGACCTTCAGTGAGAGATTTGAGAAACTATAATGCATTTTTCTAAAAAAAAATAGAGATGGTTCGCTAAGATGGAAATGATGTATTTTAAATTTTGGGGTCAAAGAAAATGCCCCTAACAGTTTTTTTAAGGTGCAGTCTTATAAAATTACCATGAAACTGTTGCATAAAATCACTCCTCACACACACACACACACACATAAGAGACAAAATGAGGTGGCGAGCCAATTCAATGGTATTGGCCAAATGGCTCAAATTCAATTTGGGCGCATTCACCAAGTAGTGTATATGATCACTTCTCATTTTCTGATTTTTAACAAATCCTTCTGAGATGAAACTTGGAAGAGGTTCACTAGACTTAGGCCCCATAAAAAAATTTATATACAAACAAATAACAAAAATGCCCCAACCCCTATCAGTGCACGTGATCCATCTATAGTTGATATCACAGGGGTATTGTCAACATATATGTTTGTAAAGTGTTGTTGTAATTTGCACCAAGTCCCGCTAAAAAAAACCTCAGGAACCACCCAAGTCTTACCAGTTCGCAAGCATACAATATTATTTTTTCATAGACTTAACAGAGTCCTATTGAGACTCAGATGAGTCAGACCGGTTAGCTCGGGCTTAGTCTCTATTCAGTTCCCTACACGAATATGAGCTTCTTCTTTTTTCGAGAAACTGCACAAATACGAGCTTTAAACCATTGATTTTCGCAAAAGGGCAATCTATCTACTCATATCTAAACATAAGAGGTATCTTTATCATAATTGTCAATGATTACGAATAAAGTTTGAGCTCTTCCAGACATGCAAAAGAAGCTAAGGTCATAGCACTCAACAAAGTGATCATAGGATCATGCATCAATCAAACCAGCCAAGCCAATGCCTACAAATCTTAAATGTGTGATGAATCGTGAATAGCAATAACAACAACAGCAACAACGACCAGCAAGAGGTATGTGCAATGCACATTTTTGGTAAGTGTACTCTTTTTCCAAAAACAAATTCCTAAATGTTGAGATTACAAATTAGGTTTCTAGTCAAGTTATAATCTTCAAAATTTGTGAGAATACATGGAATGCATTCATCCATTATATCAATGCAAAATACAATTACAAAGCAAAGTTATACATGAGTGAAATAGAAATTTTTGCATAGATTTAAAATGGTATGAAAAAATCATAAGTGTGTGTCATAATGTCTAACAAAAAAGCATAAAGCAAAGTGAGGTTTTCATCCCATTAAAACTATTCTCATGAATATATCCCAATTACAAAAGTGAAAATTATGAACTTCAATTATGACGACTCCTATAATCTGCCCACATCCGCATAGGGTATAGAATATCTTAAGCTCCCACTTTGTAAGGCGCCTCAATAAGCACCCTACCCTAACGTCTAATCCCTCGCCATGGGATCCTAAAAAAGTTGAATGAAATTGGGTCACTACCCTTAATTGTGGCTTAACATATGTAGAATAGACCATAGCGACAATGTTTCAAATTACGGTAGGCGCTGGTAGGCCCCAAGGTTCACACCCAGGCCTGGGCACCCGCCTAGGTGGCATAGGCGGGATGCGCCTTTTTTGTGAATAAAGTGCCCCTAGGGTACATTTGGGGTTAGTTTTTACCCACGTTTTTTTCTTTAGAGCCCTTTGGGAGTATACTAAACCCCCAAGTCAAAAAAATTCGGAATCTAAGCACCAAATCTATTGATTTTGAGATCTCTATGAATTGGGAAAAAAAAATCTGACATTGCAAGAAAAATCTAGAATAGTGGTTTGGAACTCTTGTAAAGTTGTTGAAGACTTCGAGTCCATGTCATTATAGAATATGGAAAGTTGGAGACTCATACTGTAATACACTTTGGACTTTTTAAAAAAAATTCACTAATTTTTTTATGATTTGAAGTTTTGAACATGTTTATTCTTAGGATGCGATATGTTTGTATGAAAAAGGTGTTAGTTACAACACATAAATGCAAAAAATTGCAAAATTTACATAAATATACGCATGTATGTGCGTTTGGAACGAACATATATGCATCTATCTGCAGTTCTGCACAATTTTCACCACACGGCGTCGAAGGTTCTAGGCGCCCATTTAGGTGCTAGGCACCAAGCCGGCCACCTAGGGGCCACCTAGTGTCTTTTGAAACCTTGAATTAAGGACAATAATAACAACAAAAACATGAATTAGAAGAAGAAAAAAGATGCACAACAACAATAAAACAATAATAGATTTATAACACCTACTGACAACTTAAAGCTACAAACCAATAATATCTATTTTAACCAATTAATTACTTTATCCAACAAAAAATAGAACCTAGTTTGAGGGACATTTTGATTGCAAGGCTAAAATTTAGCGAAGAATGACCCAACTAATTTATCCTATATACGATGAATGGCTCAATTTATTCGCTTCCAGAAAACAAAATGCTTGAATCAGATACTGTTGAAAAGAAAATAATGCAAAAAAAAAAAAATGGAAAGCTAAAAAAAAGAGTAAATTCAGAGGAAAAAGAAACTTACAACATTCTAGGAACTGGTACTTGGTGACACCAGATTCATCGACCTTAGGGTTATGATGAGAAGCGTATTTCCCCATGACTTTGATCGATTGCTGCTCTACAGCCTCGTCATTGAACTCGAAAACAGAGTAATCCTTCTCCAGAGATAGACCGCGCCTCTTCATGAATAGGGCATGGAATGCAATTAAGTGAGCGATTCCCGTAAATGGACAATAAAATCGTTAATCAACGCGAACCGGAACTGATTTGGTGCCAAAAGGGAAGAAATATGCCGATATTAGGGTTTACTACACCGGAGTTCGAGTCATATGCGTTGCAGAGAGGGTTTAGAGAGAAGCTTGGACCTGGTGAACTCTGGCGCTGTGGGAAACTCGAAACGAAACTTTCCCCTCGCATCACCTTTCTCCCTAATCTTTCTCTCTCATCAACTCTCTCTCTCTCTGTCTCTCAAATTCACGCTTCCATCACTCTCGAATCACACAATTCAACTTTACCTGTCCCGGCATAGTCCTGGTCTTCAATGACGTCTTAAAAAAAACGCCTTTTATATGTACCCTAATAAAGGAAAATTAGATCATTTGCTTTCAAGTTTCAAGATAACTCATATCCCTCCAATTTTAAATTCCTTCAAATTTTAAATTCAGTAGTTCAAAGTGTGATATTGACCGGAACTCAAAGTTCCAAAAAAAAGAATTGAACTCCATGACATATCAAGGCCCCGAGTCATCCAATTTAGACATAACACACCCCAACTCATTTAATTTGAAATATATTATATGTTAAATATGTTACTCGCGTAATACATTACATGCAACTAGATGGTTAATGTTTGAATAGTATTTAGATGCAACCTAGTAAATATATTATTATTGTTTGGCTAATGTCTTGAAGAAATATGAGAAATGCAGTATCAATAATTTACCCTCACTTGCCTATAACCTATTATTTCTTTCTTTTTTATCACAAAATTCTATTGAAATGCAGAATTAAAGTAATCATCCCACCATTCCAAAAATATTTTTTAATAATAACATTATCACTATTTAAAAATAATAATTTAATAATAACTTGTACCATTTTAAAATCATCGTCACAGCATTTCCTACTTATTTTGCATTCGTTTGGTACTTACATGGAATCACATGTCTTCTAACATGATTAGACTTTGGTTTCAACATGATAAGTCATCGGAATAATATAATTGAAATAACATATTTTTATTTTTATAAGCTTTGTTTTTATTTATTTTTTATAGAAGTCTTTCAAATGTCTCTATATAGTTTAAAATAAGCAATAAATTTATGATACAAATTTCAAAATTTTTATGTTACAAGTTAAAAAATGAGAAGAAGTTTGATTAGTAAACTAGAAGGTTTGGTAATTGCAGTACAAAATTTTGAGGCATTAGAAGAGATTAAAAAGACATAAGTGTTTAGACAGATAGGGATTAGGGCTTACGACTCTCCTGCTTCTCTCTTCAGGTTAGCAGCTGAAAGGAAAAAGTCCAGATAAGAAAAAGGGATTAGCAAGAATAAGTCATAATGAAATAAAGGGGTTTGAGATAGAGCACTTTATGAAAACCAGCTTTAAAGATATCACCTATAGGCTTAAAGAGAGAGAATAAGTTATTATGGCTCAAGAAGATAGATAGTAGGGTTTACAGTAAAGAGAGACGTAGATATCACATATAGGCTTAAAGAGATAGAATAAGTTATTATGGCTTATTATGGCTCACGAAGATAGAGAGTAGGGCCTACAGTGAAGGGAGAAGTAGCTTTGGTAAGTTCCTCTGACGAGTTTTAGAGTGGAAAAGTAAATGGTTGAATTTTTTTTAAGCGAAGATTCAGCAGATTTGCCCGAAACTTCCGCCTCTTTTGCCCAAACAAATAAATATTTATATAAAAGTATTTTTTTTAAAAAAAATAATTTTTATTTTTTCTATTATTTTCATATATCGGTGTTGCCGTGCCCAAACAAATAAATATCTATATAAAAATATTTTAAATTTTTTTATTATTTTTATATATAAAATATATATAAATATCTAATTTATTTATATAAAATTAAAAATAAAAAATCCGAAATCTTCCCTGAATCAACCAAAATACCGAATTGTTTCATTTTTCTTACCCGACCGAAGAAGATCCGGAAGCGAGTTTGACAACATTGACACTGACATCTCTAGAGCAAAACAATACTTTACTCTCTATGGTTATATTATAGAGGTACTTGCTGTAATATCCTTTTAAATTGCAGTGATTAAAAATCTCCATGAAAATTTGGGTATTACATTCATATCTTTTTTCTTTTCTTTTTTCTTTTCTTTTTTTTCTAGAAGTGCCTTAACTTCATAACCAAAATCTCTAAAGTTATTTTATCCCGTTTTTTGAAAAGTTCTTAAACCTCAAAATCTGAAGCTCTTGTATTCGTATTGTGAAAATATGAAATTCCCTATGGATGCAGTAACCATACATGCTTGGTGCATTCCAATAGATTCCAAATAGCACCTCAGAATCTCAAAATCCAAAATTATCTTGATGAGCGTTGGATGTTAAAAAATTTGAAGTTCCCTGTGGATGCTTTCAAAAAGGAGGAAAAAAAATAGATGCAACTTTTGCAAAAAAATAAATCAGAGTTTTATGTTCCGAAGTTAGGGCATTTTTTGGAGAAAAAAACAAGACGGTAATTCAAATTTTCGAAGGGATTTTCAATAACAATAATTTCAAGGGATATTACCGTAAATTACTCTATTAGAGATATATAGGGATTGTATATAATGAGACCATTTATCTTTATTACAAGGAGGTCATAATCACACCTACTCACCAGATATCATGTTGAGATTTTTCAATGACACCGATAAACACTCAATTTGAAATCCAAAGAACAAGAGTGATTGTGTTATCCTTGTACAAAAAATAAACGGCCTCTTTGTGTACTTTTCCATATATATATACTTGCCAACATCATCATCAAATATGATCCCTAACTTTTTGGGGTTGGCTATCCGAATCCTCGTCCATCATTCTACTCTAGCAAGGGTAGATTTAGGATTCACATAATGTTTTGGCAAAGTTCTACATTAGCTACTTACCTAAGGCTACCGACCTCCTTCACCCAGGCTTAGGACGATTTAAGGAAAAGTTTAAGATCGTCGCCCTTCTCATACAGTATACTTCTAAAAATTTCATCTTATTTCTTTTTAGTATTTTCTGTAGTTTATAAATTGGGTTTATTTTGTGCATGAAGTTTGAGCCACCGTTATCATATCATCTTCATCAGCCATGAAATGTACAAATTTTTTTAAAAAATATAACTAAAATTATTTATAGTTTTGAGATATACCTCTATATAATTTTTTGTATAAAAGTGCCCAGTTATACATATTTTTGTTTTCTTAATTAAAAAAACAAAGTCTATGAAAAACCGAAGCCCTTCCCTTTACTCAGGAGAAAAAAAATATCGAGATTTGAGATTATTTTGGGGCAATGTTTTTAGTAACTCACCCAACACGGTGGATAGCATGGGGTGGCATAATTGAAAACTTCGGTTATTATTGGACCTTGTTTGGGTTGCACCGTTGAAGACAAGTTGTATTAGTAAAACCTTGAGTGGCAGGATAGCTTACTTCCCAATATTGTGTTATTTCTAAACAAGATGACATATTTCACGTAAAAAATACATAAATCCCATTGTTTCATTTGGAAAATCCCATTGTTCCATTTGGATTTTTTTTTTTTCTTTTGGAATCGAGCTTAGATGTTGTACTGTTGATTGTCAATGGTCATAAAAATCACCTGTATAAGGGGGGGGGTATGTGTCTTTGTATATCTTTCGGGGCTTTTTTTTGTCACTACCCAAAGATGAATAATATAAAAGATGTACCAGGCCATCCTCATTTTTCTTGTTTGTAATTTTTCTCTTTCTAAAAATGTAGGGTTTCTTTGTAGTAAAAGTGAAAGGGGAAGGTGTGAATTAGGTAAGTGGTGTCCCTCCTTATGCTGAGATTGCTTTCATTCTTGACTCATCCAAATATGAGAATCACTATCATCGTCAAAGCTTTTTACCAACTAATCGACTACATGAATGAACCGTCATTTTACTCTATTAAGGGTCATACCCTCAGTGAAGTCATAAGTCCCCGTGTCATCTCACTACTTCCAACTATGTCATTTTAGGCCTACCCTTTGACTGTTTTTAGCCTTCCACTTGAACGAACTCGCACCTCCTAACATATGATATTCTAAGTCTACGTCACATGTGGCCATCTCACCTAAGTTTACTTTCTCTCATCTTATCGTCTATCGGTGCGAAAATTCTCTGGAATGTATTCATTTTGAATTATATCTCTTATTGTCTTGCCACTCCTCTATCTTAACATCATCATCTCAGCTGCACTCATTCTGTGGTCTGTTGTTTTTTGACCGCCCAACATTCCTCCCCATAAAGCAAAGTTGATCTCACTATTGTTCTATAGAACTTGCCATTCAGCTTAATTGATATGCAAAGATCACATAAAACTCTAGTTGTACATCTCCACTTCGCCTGCCAGCTCTAATTCTATGTGCGACATCTTTCTCAATCTTTCTATTTTCTTAAATTATTGACCTAACATATCGAAATTGCACTCTTTTTGGCATCCAAAGCTGAGAATCATGGTGGAAAATCAAGGGATGAAAGATAATATTTCAATTGTGCATTTGGGAGAGTTCAAGAAAGGGTTTTGGTGATGAGTTTTTCACTAGTTGTCTCTATCGAGGTAACATTGTATATCTCTTGTAAATTTCACTTTGATAGTGGAATACTCACTGGCCGCATCACCTGTGGACGTAGCCCCATAAGGTACACCACATAAAGTTTGTATTATGGTTCGTGATTTCAGTTTATGATTTTGTTTTATTCCATCTCTTATTTGTGTTACTTGAGGTTTGAGTGAGTGATATTTGGTGACCAACGTTTTTGGGGTTTCGAGTATTCATATTCTCAACAAGTGGTACTAGAGCATCATGTTTTGTGCAATATTTTGGGGAGAATAGTGAGTAATCCATTTGAGGTGAAGAAATTTGATCGGCAAAAATGATTTTGAGATATATAAAACTCAATTTCATGATCTTTTGGTCCAACGATGACTATACAAATTGATGTTCGGAAAGTAAAAGAAGCCTGGACCCATGAGTAACAAAGATTGCGAGGAAATAAACCTTAGGATTATGGTTACAATCCGATTGTGTTTAGTGAATAACTTCTTACTCAATACAATGAGAGAATAGACGAAAAACTATTAGTAGGAAAAAGTAGAGAGTGTTACCAAAACATATCTTTTAAACATTCTATTATATTAAAGACAAAATTGTTTAGTTTAATGATGAAAGAGGCGACAAAAGTTTTTGATCATTTAAACATTTTCAACAATATTATTTATGAACTTGAAAATATTAATTTAAAAATGAAAGACGAGGACAAGGCAGTAATGTTGTTATGTACTTTGCCGAAATGTTATAATAGTATAGTGACAAATTTATGTT